CAGCTTTTATAGCATACGCAATAGTGTGCTTCGTCTTGGGAAGCGTTTGAAATCTATTCAGTCAGGTATCTGCTCACAAAAATTCAGTACAAAATGAACAGCTTGAATAGAACCATCAATGTTAGGTGATTGAAGAGAGCCGCCAGAATGCGGCTTCCATATCATGCTTGCGTTGAAGTTGGTATATATATTTCCACGGCATCTAGTGTGTTCACCATCCGAAAGCTACGGATGGGGAAATATGTAGGTCAGTTTGCGACTAAATTTGTCTTAAATGACAGCCCTCGAAGACAAAACATTGACAAGTGTAGCCCTGTCGTAACACGTATCACGGAAAATCATTAATCTTCATATCGCCAGCTGTTAGGGCATGTTTAAAAATGTAATGACTCAAGGACTCAATAGGTCCCCCGATGGGATGAACAGATGATATGTTCATGAGAACCAATAACTGGTGTGTAGACTGAATGAACACGTTTCGTTGAAAAACTATCCGGATTGGCCTACTCTCAACTCGCCCGTATGGTGCGATAGGATACGAACTCTTGCGTATTAATGTGTATCTGTTAGTTCAAAAAGAATTTTAATTCAAGAGTGATCCAGTGAACCAACGGATTTGTTTTAACCACAGACACAGGCATGGTTAATTGCCTGAGGGAAAATGAAACATCATGCTTGGAGCTCAAAATATAGATTACCTGGGATTATCGAATGAGTATCATCAAGAAACATCCACACCTGATATGCTATCGTGTTGTGTTATCTAGACAAATATTTTAGCATCGTTTTCCTGTAAACCACAAGATCGTTCGTCGGACACAAATACATTTTGCTGCGGTGCTCATTTATTAGAAGACATTAGTTATGTTACGCGGACTTTCTCCATAGAACGGTGAGCTTTCCTTCACTGCGTTACTAGGATGGAAGTGACATACTGAGAAAACTAGGTAGCGCCTCCACTCTCTGTTTCACAAGTAAAGACAGATCAAAACGGTGCCTGTAGTAAGTTGATTGACAACTGCGTCCTTCCGGGCTGAGCACACACCGAGACCAGATAAGTTCCCGGCTGTGGGCCACATGGCAGATAACCTTGTCTAATATACCACAAGCAGCTAAGATTTTAAGTTGTCAGATCACTTGTTTACATTACCATGGAGAAAATGGGTAATGCAGTGAGGAGGGGTAGCGAAGAAAGAAAGTAAAATGAGATTTTTTGCAGCTTAGCCTTGGTCATGAGTTAGGGGTTTCGAATTCAGATAGATGAGCGTAAGCCCTTCCTTTCCTATTTTGTTGCTTTAAAGATAATCGAGGCTTTCTCCTTCACTGTTTTGTTGTTGGATAACATTAACTTAGATTCAAGGCAAAGTAACTCATACGCTCTTGTTCTCTGAATCTGTATTGTTAGGGCCATCAGAATAATCTAGTAAGCGATCACTTTACTGATAGTTGACCATCAGTTACCTGTTCTTCGAGGTTGGTAATTGGCTTGTAAATGTTTCGTCCCTAGTTTGCAAGCCAGTTGCCAAACTCGTTGAGCAGATCAATAGCCATATGATTAACCACCCGTGAACACAATGAGCTGCCAATATTTCGACACACTGAGAACGATCTTTTTATTGCCAAATCCAGGTGAGACACGTAGAAATTAAACGAAAAGAAGATAAGAAGAACAGCTTGTATCCCTCAAGCTCGAAGCACAACTCGGCACCAAACTCCAAAATAAACGGAATCCTAAGTATTGGAATTTACAAGGTTAACATCCCCAAGGAGTGTAGTTGTGGACGCCAATTTCGCCCCAACTATTCGGTTGAGATCACTTTAAGTGAATTTTGAAACAAAACTTGAATTCCAGGAATCTTTCAAAATAGATTGAGAAGTCCTATCTGTTACGAAGTAAGATGGTTTTGAGGAATCTACGCGTAATTTTGCTGGAGACTCTTCGACAACCCACGACAGCTTTTGCCCTCTTTTAGTTTAACAGCTAGACACTCATCATATTTCCAACAACCCTGTGTTTGCTTGGACCCAAATTGTACGAAATTTACAATCTACACTAATCTGCACACCGGTTCATAAACTCTGAGAATTCGTCTACTTGGTGAACCCAGACAAGCGCGAGACCGACCTTGAACCAGCACTAAATGAACACAAATTTCAAGTTCACTGGGTTTGTGATGGAGTGAGGTTGGTTGTTGTACTATAGCGTCTGTTGTACCGCCTAACACATAAACCCACCATGGAATGTATCATTCCTTGTGAGTTGGGTCCGGAGTTCGGTGGTCTTTAATGCCGTTGCTATCACTAAATTTTCACTTTAAAGAATTGCACCAAGCTAGGATATGTTCCTGATTTCCATACATTGTGGCTAGCGTATAAGTGAAATTGTTGACTGCACCTAGGTTTTCCAGTAAATACAAATGCCAGTAACTGATTATAATATACACAATAGCACTGTTAGGCCACCAAAATTCCGTACTTGTCTATTATCAAACAGCCCTGATGACAAGGGAGAGATTGTAGTTAAGTTTGCTTGGTTACTTCTGTTGTAATTTATAAGAGGTTTCCTCGATTCCTACCATCAGTTCAAGATGTACCGATAAGTAACAAAAGTATGTCTTTATACGTAATGCACTTCTCTCAAGGTTGCTGAAAATTCTTCAACAGGCAACGACCGGTTTTGCCCTTCTTAGGGCTTATCAGGTAGACAAAGTCCCCAAGTTTCCATCAACCCAATGTTCTTCTGAAAAGAAACTGCACCAAACTAGTGAAGTACACTCATTTGCCTGGAAACATCATGAAGGAGAGATTCAACTGGGTTTCAGATGATTCTCTCGCATAACCCAATTTGCTTGCAGATGAGTGTATTTCGCTAAAAAGTATATCTTATTAGCAGTCACAAAGTTTTCTTATACTGCAATAAAAAACTGTGCCAAAATAAGCAGTTGATAGCTCTGTAAAAACTGCTTGTTTCTGGAGTACAGACAGTTGCGAAAGAATTAAAGGGCTGCTTCTTTTCTAATGATATTTCCCTTCTCCTTGTTGGTGGAATGATTTTTATCTGTTGGTGATCAAAAAAGGAAGAAACGGAACTTTGAAGTCAAGTAGGAATACCATTCCCATAAAATGACTAGCATGCAGATGGTGAACGAACGATTACCTCACACTGCCTTCCATTTGTGACGGGTTTAATTCAATTCGCTCGAGAACTTCAACTCCCAGATTCTTACAGGTCCTGTGCGAAATCTGTATGGGTTACCGAAAAATATTCTTGGCTGTGTCAATTCTTCCCTTATAGCTTCAGCGTTCAACGAAGTGCTACATAGCCCTAAACGTCATTGCTCATGAAAAAGTGGTGTGGTTATCTTTCCGACGCGTGACAATGATAGGCTGTTTTCATGCATGCTGAAGAATTCTGAGAACTTCAGTTCGGATCTTATGCATGTTCTCTTTGGGTGTTGGTCAGTTTCGCCAATAACCCTCCTGGAATCCTCTACAACTAGTCGCCAAAGATGGCTACTGTGGGGTGGAATTGAGTGACTAGGGTGGCGATTGTGCAACCGATGGTGAGATGTAGTTCTGCCAAGTTAAATGAAAGACTATAAGAATCACCGATGTAACAATTACATTGCTTTATAAAACAGCACATTTGAAGACGGTCACATGATCCATCAGATTTTAGGTACTCCACTTGGGAGTCATAACTTGTCCCAAGCTGTGGTGTCTTTTTGTTGATGTAGTGAATGAAAATCAATGGTCCACACAAATCTTAGTCAGGTAAACTACTGAAGGGTTTCGCAGATCTTCTTATGTCAGTTGAGAAGCCGTGAATGCAGAGGGTAAATTTTAATACGGAGGTTTTTTGGGCTGTTTGAGATTAAAACACTTTTTCACGCGGCCAGGTATTCCGGATGGGTTTCACTGATCACATTTACCGAAAGCGTTTGGTTCCGTTTTGGATTCTCCTTTTCCTAACAGGATTGTCCACGTACAAACAAATATTCATATTCATTGGGTAAATCCTCGTTCTAAACGCTACTCAGACAAGTAGGTTGCTCACTCTTTGAAGAAATCAGATGAATGAGATACAACACGACCGGGTCGGTATTCCAAGCTTTTTTGTTGGATCATCTTCATTTGGGAAGATCCAATAATTCCATGCTTCTATTCACCTAGCAGCTTTTCCGAGGCAAGAAATGTTCGGAAACTAGTAGTCAATTAAATTGTTGGCTTACGTTGATCACGTGTGCTCCTGATGGTCTGATCAAGCCGTGTGTGACGTGTTCTCGTGGTCAAGTGATAGGAGGACTGGGGCCATGGTCTACACCTGCCCGCCAGATATCAAGGTGGCGGCGACGTCTTGTGTTCCACATGCAACGATGCGTAGGTTGAATGCAGGTGTTCATGTATGCACATTTACTTGAAAATGTGGTATGCTTATTGGGTGGGTTGAAAACTAAATGGGGTTTTGAAGATTGGGTGGAGTCTCATTGGAGTGGACTGTGATGGTCTTCTGGGTTTAATAACCCAAAAATTTAGCTGTAGCGATTCGAAACGAAGAACACAGACATTCCTGTATGAACATGTTTCACGCTCCAAAGTTGCAATTTGGCTTTTTCATTCCAATATCAAACAGTAAGAAACTACTGTTGTTGTCAGAATACATTTAGTATGATGTATATATATATGTATATGTGATATAGAGACATACACCAAATTAAGGTGCGTTCTTTGTAGTGATCGTGCCCAACTCACTCTCGAAATGATATTGATGAGAAAATTTACTCACCTCCAAAAAAGAAACCACACCGGAAATTAGAAAAAGGCAATGAGAACAAAGCACTTATTAATTGCATCAAAATAGTCCACACTTTAGACGGATAGTTTTTCAAACCATTTTCCGTAAATGAAAACAGAAGCCATTTTTCAAATTTTGATTTGCTCATAATAATGGTACCAAACAAGAGAGTTTCCTGTACACAAAGGCACCTTTTACAGAATAATCAGTTCGCACCGATGAATAGAAAAATGGGTGGAATAAACATGATCACGCTACTCACAACCATAAATCCGTTGCCAATAGCTATGGGAAGCTGGATGAGTCCAAACTGAACCAGACTAAAGATTCCACCAATAAGGGACAGCACACCCATAAGTGTACCAAAATATTTTAGTGGGAACGCGGTCATTATGAAGGTATTGGTGACGCTGGGTAGAATAGAGCCCATGAAAACAATAGCCACAAACTGTGTATAGTAGACCCACTGCTGACCAGTAATATAAAGCGTACAACTTATGTAGAAAGACAAAGTGGCGAGCAAGAACAGTGTTGGAGCCAGGGCGCACATGTGATACCAGTAAATTCGACGTGGTTTCAGATTATTCACAGCCAACTTGCTTTCAAGCTTTTGTCTGGCGACTTTTCGAGAATAGTCTATGACAAGGCCAGTAAACGGGGATAACAAAATGGCACACATGGAAGTATAAGAGGAGGCAAGTAACAATTTGTTTACCACCTCATGTTCATGAGTAAATGAGTATAGTAGCTGCTGGTCAAGTTGGCTGAAGTACAAACTGAAGCGAAGCACTCCGGGAAGAAAGTACAAATAGGCCATTGTATATGCCTCCGATAGAAAACAGGACTTTTTATCAGGATAGTAATACTGAATAAGGCGCTCAACCTCTCTGTCGTAAACGGAATCTTCTTCTTCCTCAGCGAATTCCGGCTGAAACAGGCAGAAAGTTGACTTCAGTATAATCGACAAAAAGGCTAAGAAATAGCATCTTCGTCTTTTAGACTTCTAGGACATTTGAATGCGCATTCTGATTAATTTTAACCCCAAAATTAATATTTGGGGTTTGGGATACTTTAAGCATAACTTGAAAATGAAATGAACCGTGATACTGTTTCATTCCGGAATTCATGATTCCTAAACTCTTCCTAACATTTTACTCACAACCTTGCTGCTTAAACGAAATCAACACTAAAAACACGCAGGTAAAACTTTCCTTGATAGCTAGCTAATTTTGACGGCGACTATCGTGACCATGTCTAATTCAAAAGCTAAAACTCAGAAACCATTTAAGATCCCAAAATACGAAACGTGAAAAATGCACAAAATCCGGAAATTCTGATAAATACTTGATGATAGCATCCAACCTGGTTATCGGCATTCGATGTGCATTAACTAAGTGGCATATGGTTTTAAGAAGAACATAAGGTTGACGGAAACCCGAGGACTGCGCCTACCTGATGAGCCCCAGAAAGGGCGAAACCGGTCGTGAATGGTCGGCGGATTTTCAGCAACCTTATGAGTAGTACATTACTAAGTGGCGTGTGCTTTCGAGAACTAGCGTAGAGTGGTTGGTCTATTAGCATTAGTATGGGTGGGTGGAATTAGATCACACACTCTTATCTAAAAATGTTTGAAAGTAAGGTTATCCAGAAATTTGATATGATATTCAACAGAACTATAGGAGAAATTACCAAGCATGTGAAAGCAATGGATCCTTGGATTACGAAGCAGCGTCAAACTGGCATATCTAGTGAAGTTTGGGCTCTAAGAACAGCAAGGCGGACGTAAAATATGTTTTCCACCCTCCACAGCATTACTATAAAAACGTGTTGGTAATACGAGATTTTGGAATTTCGCTGGAGATCTCGTCCGGTGAGTGAAGTCAAGCTACACTGAGAAGCCGAAACGCACTGTAAAAGGTTTCGTTCTAAATTGGAATCGTTATCAGTGCGATATATTCTGTCTATATGCGGATGAATCGCGCTGCTGATTAGCCACTCGTGGGCGACAGGTTAGGTGTCCAAACTACTGGACAAGAGGTCACCGGTACAGGACTCATTGGCTTTCATGGGATGCACGCGGCTGACTGTGCACAATAAGGATTAAGCAGCTGTACAATGCTTTTCGTCTTTTCTATTAGTCTCTAGGTCGCCTCGACGTCACACAGCTACTCCGTGAACTTGGACAGGAAAAGAAATTTGGCTGAATAATTTAAAATTTGTTCATGTGTCCATCTGATGCAGCCGCATTAAGATCTTTAGATTACATTTATCCATACTAACTGCTGCTACAGGGTTTGAGTGAATCCTGCTTTCCACATCAAGCATAGGATAAACATGACAGCCGAAAGCAGTTTCGCATGCAACCGATATGCTAACCGAAGATCAACATAGTAGACTGAATCAACGAAAACAAAGGATTTAACGTATAGCAAGCAGCTATTTTGGTCTTTTGCACACATCACGTTTTTCAAATCAAACTAGAAATATCAAAACGCATTCGCAGCGCGTTGTATAGCAATAAAGGTGGCAAGTTTTTACAGTAAGACTGTCATTGTATCGTGTTTTGAACTGCTATCATGTGTTCTCGCAGCTCGAGTGCTTTGCGGAACTAAAAACTGTGAATTTAAAACCCAAAGATAGTCCCATAGACGCTATGAAGTGCAACAAAATTTCAAGTGTTTTAGTCAAGCCTTAACGAATGCGCTGCCATTAGGGCAGCAAAAGTGTATATGGTAGGAGACGTCCAGGGAAATGCCACCAGCCCTACCACTGATAGCCACTGCTCTGATTTGCTAGGTTATCTGTTACCTGTTAACTCATTTTCATTTTTACGCATCACATACATCGTTTTGAATTGAACTTCACTGTATTCTGTTTTCCTGATTGTCCTGTGTATATCTGCGAATGAGTCGCTGGGTTTTGAAGACTGCACTGGTGCTTGAAGTGATTCTCCCTAACTATCATCGCACGGAATACGCCAAGTAATCACTGGCAGTAGTTGATTTCATGTATTAGCCTTGGTTAAATTTTACAAGGAATGAGGGTCACAAAGACATCCTCCGCATGCGTAGTGCGTCTCAACCGTTCGAGTATCTTCAAATGACTTTAAATTCACTGGCATCCAGTTCAGAATGCAGACTGCTGTCCACTTCAAACTCCGGTCTCATTCCCTCTGATTTATGACATTCAGGTTGTTTCAGACACTGTCCAGTGCAAACCACCTGCGCCGCTGATTATTGCGCACGGGGGTCGATCTATGTGGCCCAATGTGAAGTAAAACTTTTACCACGAATGCCTGCTCGAAGTCCAATGCGCTCAAAAAAAGTACCGGCCGTCAGAGCTTGCCTTCGCTCCAGCAACAAGCAGAGCCATTGGTTGGTTTTCATCGCAGTCGGACTGATTGAATAATGATAACTGTGCTGTTGACGAGTGTTTTACACACTTCATCTTTAGGATATTTACGGCCCCTACGACATTCTAACCTGACTGCCAGCTGAATTCAGATCAACAAGGCAGAAATTGTTATTCCAAGTTCCCATAATCTCCCCTTTTCCTGCTTGTAGCAGTTCAAATACCGTTCTATAACTCCCTAAATTCAGCCAGTAACAACCAGTATTGATGAATAGTTTTCGAACTAAAGCATCCACGGTTCAAAAGCCCTGTCCCACCGTACAACATCATACGCATAGCGCACTGTTTTCGTGTTAAGTTCTTAACAATTTTGACATCAATACTAGCCATCGTTGAGGGTATGGGTTCTAAGTCTGCAGAAGGCAGTGCACAAGGATAAAATCGTTATACATTCTGTAAGCATTCCACAATGTAGAGTCAGTTAGAATTTCTGACTCTGTTTATACAAATGCAGGGTACAGGATTAAAGTATACATTCAACAACGACCCGTATCTCTCTTACTTTTGACTGCTGACCAATTAACTAACCGGTGGTAGGCACAATCTAGAAAATGCAAAACTGAACACAGCCTACCAAAGATAAAATTCCAATTAAAATGACCAACTACTGGGCGAACGCTTAGTTTGGGTGATGCTGCACTCACAGTGACCTACGTACTTAGACGCCCAATTTTCCGTCTTTTTTGGTTAGAAAACTGATACCTGTTGCTTGAGTCCAAGGTTTGGCCCGATCAATGGACACGTAAGTGATTTTATGAAGACAGTTTATATTCCATTTAGGCACAATCACTTGGGTTGCACTGCCTATCCGCTATAGTGAATTTTCGTGGTCTTTCAGGGATTTGCTGCTCCTTACGGTTGGGGCGTCATCTAGCCAGTGCAGTACAAAATTACGAGATCTTTTTTTATTGCATAAATCGCTGCTGAAAAACCGTTTTCATTGCCTAGATAACAGCTTATGAACCTAGTTCTTCAACTATGTAAATCTTTTACTTCCGGTAAAGCCAACAAATTCCAGAGTAAAATTGAAACAACCTCAGCCCGTCTGGTTATCTTCAATTCAGCATTATCTTCAGGAAACTTGCCAACAGAAAGAACGTAAATAAAACAAAATACCATAGGGATAGAATAATTCATGAACACATATTTACGAAGGGTCAATTACGTGCACTTTACAAACACCCGGCAGCAGTTTTGATTGCCCAATAAAAGCTGATCATCACTGTATCGAGGGCCACCTGACTGACCTTACCCTTACACAAGGTATCCAAAGAAAATTATGGAAGTTTCGTTGCCCTCTAAGTGCAAACACACCACATTGAATATCCCCAAAGTGAAAACCACAGATTTATAGAAGGTCTGGTGATCCGGTTGATTAGTCCTACTGCTATTCTTGGACTATCCGCCTACACGAATATGTCTTACTCAGACAGTCACATACAATTTTGAAAATCTATTTGGCCCCAAAATCCAGTATCGAGTGAACATTCTCTTCTGTTCAGACATCATAAATCCCGTACTTCCGGCCTGCGCCGGTGGAATATTGGTAGCACGCTCAACCTGATGTCTGAAGTTCAAACCGGGACGAAGTACTGGTAAAACAAGGTTGATTTGAACGTGGATTCACATATGAGCAGCTGGAGAATGGCCTCTGAGATCAAAGAGGAGTGGAGTTACTACGCAGAGACAGAATTAAGATGGGTTTATTAAGGCTCACCAGTGATTAAAAATCATAATAAAGTGTGACTCTAGGTCTAGGCACATGGTGGGACGCGAAAGATGCAGGCATGGGACATTTTGAGGTTCGGCGTGTCCGCAAAAATTATACTTTTTTATTCACAAGCTGGTCATGGCGCGCATATCAAGATCATTATTACTGTACTTAATGGACTGCTCAACCCGAGAATGCATCTGCGTAAACAACCCCAGAGTTGAGAAAACTAGGCTTGCATGTACCGTATCAATCGCGATGCTTTGATGTCTATTTTCGGGTAGATTTTATCCTGTTGCTGACATTGACAACATGCTTGTATACTCGGTTTATGCGCAACAACCAAAAATAGTCTATTTTTTTGGCACACTCTCAGATGAGTATGTCTGTATCGTATTGGGTGAGGTAAATAATGATGGTAATAATAACTAATAATAAATAATGATAATCTTATAACGAAGCGCAAAGAAATTAGTGCAGGTCATCAGTACCTCATTATTTTGTGTGGTGCTAGTCTTCACTAAAGAGCCATCATATTTGGACTTAGATAGCTGGGAACAGAGCATTGCAAAATGTCCTGCCGTCCAACTAGTGTTGACAGGGAATCCGTAACAGATGCCAGCTGCCCTGTTTGTAGCTTCCTTACTAACTAGGCTAACAAATGTTTAGGAAGGCAAGCCATGGTGAAACGGGTATTTTTTCATCAAACACCAGAAATTTCACCGTTAGTTTTTTCATTATGATTCGTCGTGCGCTACGGAGGAGTGGTGATAGAACTTCATGGTGCCTGATGAAATCCCAATAGT